TAATTAATTTTTTTATTTACTTCTTCTTCAATATCAAACTGAATGTCCTTATTTATATTATTTATAAAGTTATGGATAGTTTCTTTATTAGTTAAATTACTATTATATATGATCAAATAGTCATCCACATATCTCATTATTAATTTTATGCCATGTATTTCACTTATTTTTTTATCAATATCAATCATAACTAATTCAGCTAATTGCTGTGAGATACGTCTACCAAAGTGTGTTTTTTTGGATTACAGAGACAGATTTACATTCTATATTTTTTATTTTATAAATAGTTTTATATTTAAATAATATAAAAAATTTAATTATTTATAACTTTATTCCTTTTATCATAAAGCTGTATTAGAATAAAATTGTTATTGTGCATAAATAGTTTCTTGGAAATATATACATACTTTTGAATGGTAATTATGGAAAATGGTTTAATTATTTTAATAATTATGTATTAAATATTTATAAATTATTACATTTTCTTGATTCTTATGTGCCATCAAATCAAACATGCACCCATTTTTCAAGATATCAAAACCTTAATAAAGGTAGATTGCAACTGTAATGCATGTGCTATATTATCAAACACACAGTTCTCTGAAGTTGTTATTTTTAAACAGTAATAAATGAATTTTTGAAAACGTTTATTGTGATGTTTACAATGCTTCACAAAGTTCACATTTCTGAATGTATTTATTTATGACTGTCTCCATTATCAAGTACAGAAGATCTGCTGACTAACATAAAACCATAGACAAAATTACCTACAGTCAATGTTTTAAGAGATTTTACATTGATATACCCTAGCATAAAATTTTCCAGATAAACAGTATCACACTGAAATATCTGCATATATGCTCTCCAGAATAGGCAATTACTCTCTGCTTAAACTTCATAGGAGACACATCTGTTGGACATTATTCACTTAGCTTGCTATAATTCAAAAGATACCAAATCATAATTATACTATTTGAGTTTCAAAACCAAAATAAAAACTGAATTAGGAAGTGGAACATGTATCACATCTATACTGATGATGTAATACATGCAAATTTCCAAGCAGAGTGAGGATTAAATGATGTGAATGAGGCTATATTAACTTTGTGTTGATTCTAAGGTATATTCTAATTTTAGAGACAGTAAAAGTCCAAAAAAGTGTGCATTAGAATCAAGAAAACGGGGTATATATCATTTGTTTATAAATGATTAAGGAATTGTAGTATTCTTTTAAATAGAATACTAATTTGGTTTTACTTTAATTAATATTTAAACTAATAATTTGTAATTAGCCAAATGTTATTAATATTTCATAAACTGTTATAAAATATTTTATTAAAAATGATAAATATGTCTTAGAAAAAAATCAATCAACTTCTTTTTATTTATAGGATGCTGGAGGAATTTTGTCATTAACAGATGTTTATTGTAGAATAAATAGAGCCAGGGGACTAGAGGTAAATAAAAATTATGTAATGTGAAATATAATTAAATCATTTTAAAATAATTTTTTAAGTTTTTAGAGTGCTCAAAAGCAAGAAATGTACAGAAAATGTATTACTGTGTTTTTTGATTAATTAGTACCGTGGTTCTTAACCTGTGGTCTGTGGACCACTGGTAGTCCCTGAAAGCACTCGAATTGGTCTGCAAAGTTATCCCAAAATTATTAAATAAATGACGATGAGTTGATGACAATGTGCAGTACATCAAGATTAGAGCAGATAGTGGACTGGGCTGGGGTATTGTGTGCAGTCAGAAAATATGAAATTGGAAGGCACTAGCAATAAATTTGCATTCGAAGGTAAAATCAGTATGTTTATCGCTAAAATCGACCTATGGATTAGCAAAATTGAAAGAGAGAATTTTTCTGCGTTTGATACATTGAACCCAATTATTGATTGACAGTGTGCTGAGATTAAAGGACAAATACAAAAGAACATTACATTACATTCCATTTGCAAAGCTTGAAAAATGAATTCAATTGCTATTTTCCTGACTGCAAGGACAAAGGTATTTGGAAATTGATTTGCAATCCTTTCATAGTCAACATTTCTGAGGTGCCGGATGAAATACAAAAAGAGTTAATTGAAATGCAACATGATAGTAACTGCAAGGATACATTCGAGACAAGAATTAATCTTAAAGATTTTTGGAGCCAAAAAGCTATTGCTTTCCCTAAAATTCGAGAAATTGCTTTACAGTACCTAACTTTATTTTCAACATATTTATGCGAGCAAGGATTCTCAGTACTTTTGATAATTAAAAATAAACATCAAAATTGGTTGGATGCCAGTGCTGACATGCATTTGCTTTGAGTAGCACTGAACCAAGAATTCAGCAGTTGGTAAACAGTAAGCAGTCACAAAAATCGCACTAAAATAATATAATTAATGTAACACTTTCGTAAATAATATAATACTCTTGGTTCCGAATAATTTTCTACATGTTTAATTTATAGAACAACCTTATAAGAACCTATATTACTTCCAAACAGCTCGTGGTCCATGGCAAGACAAAAATTTTGATAAATGGTCCCTCATCATTAAAAGGTTAAGAACCACTGAATTAGTATATTCTTCAATTATATTCATGTTTTAAAATATATTTTAATACAATTTTTAACTTCTATCAAGTTCAGACTTAAATATTATGTAATTATGCCAAGTTATCATTACTGTTATAAAAAATCATATGAGATATATATGTATATAGAAGTGAAATCATTAAATAATCATAATCAGAAATGAAATGGAATTTTTAATTAATTGATTGAAACACAAAACTGAAATTGTACTTAATATAATTTTGTTTTTAAACCTAATATTAAAAAATGTCTGTAATTACATCAATTAAAATTGCTTTTAAAAATATTGTTCATAATTGGCATGCTACATATTTCAAATTAATTCAAAAATTTATATATTCTATAGCTCATATCACCTGAAGATTTAGTAAATGCCTGTAATATGTTAGAAACTCTAAATTTGCCAATAAAGTAAGTATTTTTGTGATCAATACTATTTAATTTACTTTTGAGAATTTATATTCATAGGCTTTTAATTTGTCAACTTATATTCATTTTTGTGTTTACTTCAATAAAGCAGTTAAACTTAAGAATTTTATAAGAAATATATTTAATTTCTGTAATTAATATCTGAAAAGAATTACTCATATAATTACTGTAAAATATCTGGTGATTCTCAGACAACTATCAGAACTGAATTTAAATATCAATATAATTTTAGTTATTATATATCAAAAGAAAGTAAAGCTGGATGTATTTCTAAACTTTACACAATTAAATTTTCATTTATATAACAACTTTAAACTATTCATACTTTTATAAGAGTTTATGGTATTAAATTCAGTTATATTTGAACATTTAATTTCTTAATTATATTGTGAAATCTCCAATAGTTAAAGAATAATAAACAATTATAATTGGTTTAGTAATTAATTTGTTTTATTGGGCTGCAATATGAAAAAATTGTAGACCTATAAATTCCACTGTCTGTCTTTCCTTAATCTTGAGAATTGATTTAGATAGATGAAAGATGAGACCAGATGTGGAAACCTTAGGGCAGGAGGTCCTGATTAACTGTATATGAACTTCCAATGCAAACCAGAAGTCATGTTATCTCAGTTAAAAAAATTTTTCCCTGAAAGGAGTTAGATCAGTGTTCTGCAACCGGTGTGCCGTCACAAGTTGAAAGGTGTGACGTGAACTTTTATATATTCTATTAATTTCAAGTTTTATTTATATATTTTTATCACAGTCATTGTGTTTCTTATGCTTGTATTTCATTCACCGATGAAATAAGATGATGTTAAAGCAATAAACACATATGTTGTTTCAGTACTCACTTGTTCTTTTGGAGTTATACATTGGACTCACACAGATCTTGAGCAACTCCAAATGAAAACAAGAACACTTACTAAGCATAAACAACATTGGACTCACACAGATCTTGAGCAACTCCAAATGAAAACAAGAACAACACTTACTCAGTATAAACATCATCATCTTGAATCTGCCATAGAAAGATTAACACTTCCATGTAAAGATGGCGGACATGGCCTGATCAACATAGTCAACCTCCACTTCAAACAAATACAGACATTGTGAGAGTTTTTCTACAAAAAACAAGAAGTATCATAGTTACATAAAGCAGTAACTCTAGCAGACTCAAATAATAACCATTACATTTACATTCACAATGTATGGACACAACACAACATATAAATAGCATAGTCACTGTTAAGCAATCATGGGTACGAAAGGCACTCCATGACAGACATCTCTGTGACCTGGCCCAGGATTTTGTTGGCAAAACTGTGTCAAACAGCAGGTTAGCTTGAGGATGCCTCTTTGGGGAGACGGAAGATTCATGATTACCATACAGGATCAGGTCATAAATACTAAAAACTACAGAAAACACATAAAGATACAACACTCACAAACAACACATGCAGAAAATGTCACATCATGCCAGAAACTATGCAGTACATCACTTCTGGTTGCAAGCTGTTGGCACAGACAGATTACTTACACAGACACAATCAAGTAGCAAATATAATACACCAAGAGCTTGCAAAGAAACACGACTTGGTAGACATTCATGAACCATACTACAAGTATATTCCACAGACAGTATTGGAAAATAACACGCACTAAATGTACTACGACAGAGCCATAATCACAGATAAAACAATTTACCACAACAGACCAGACATCACACTCATTGACAAACACAATAAAATCACATAAGTTATAGACATAGCTGTTCCAAACACTCACAATATACAAAACACATGCACTGAAAAAATCAGCAAGTACACAGAACTCTCCCAGGAAATAAGGCATCTGTGGAGGATGGATAGGGTGCTTATTGTACCTGTCATTCTCTCCTCTACAGATGTTATACCACACATGCTACACAAAAGCCTGGGAACATTAAAATTGAATAGAAACACATACGTTACACTACAGTATATTGAATACCTGTCATATTGTTAGGAAATTCCTGAAAACAGATAAACACTGACACACTTATTTAATTTTTGTCTTGTTTTGCAGTTACTATGCCTTGACTCTGGTCTGGCATAGTACATTGGTGTCAACCGAGTGTAACTCACAAAACTCAATAATAATAATAGGTTTATGGCATTACAAAATTCTATTAATACAGTAGAGCGTCGATTATCCGAAAGTCAATTATCTGAAAGAATTCCAGTTGGCAAATTTAAATTTTCGCCAGTGCTGTGACACTGCAAGTTTTGGCTATGTCTTGGGCTACTCAAATATTTTACGTTTTTGATACTAAATTAACTTCTGAAGTATAATTTTTATTGTTTTTATATTTTTCAATATATTTATTTTGTTTGTACAAAATAAAAAAATAATTTTTTACGATACAATAGTCTTTGTTAGGCTTAACATTGACGAAAATTCAACGCGAAACGACACACAACGGAGAAAACTTTCAACATGGGATAAATTAATATATTTTTTCGTACATAATCGGTTATCCGAAATATCGATTTTCCGAACAACCCCATTCCCAATTGATTCGGATAATTGATGCTCTACTGTAGTATCATATCATACATTTTTGAGGGGAATAACATTTTGATGTGCCGTGTTGAGTCATGTCGAGTCATATGTGTACTGCGAGTAGAAGAAGGTTGTGGAACATTGAGATAGATGACCAGCATGACTCTATTGTTAAAGGAAAAGTATGATGTACAGGGGCAAGCTACTAATTTGAGTCAACGAGTATATATTTTAAGTTAAATAAATTAAAAATTATACCCTGGCATTGTGATAATATCACCATAAATAATTTCTCATTTATTATAAAAATTAATATTGTATTTATCTACAATAATTTTGAGGTTCATCAAAATTATATTTTTTTTATCTATACAAAATTAAGAAATTCATAAGTGCATAGCATTTCTTTTTTCATAAATAATTTTCAGTAGTTTTTACATTTTAATTATATCTTTTCTTAGTTTTCATTGTTTCTTTGTCACTTTGTGATGAGGAAACATCTCTCTTAAAATCTCTCCTACAAACAGTTTTAAAAGATTCAGTATGTAATAAAATAAAAGATATTTATGTTTGATAATTAAAAACTTTTAGATTGATTTTATGAAATGTAGGATCTAGAGTTGTAGCAAGTCTCTAGTTTTTCATTTTGAGAATGTTTAAAAAATTCCTCAGAAAGAAGAATTAGGAGTTCCTGAAAGAGAATCCTTTCCTAATTCTTCTGATGAATTCTTATCTATATATATAAAAATGAATGTATGTTTGTGTGTGTGTGTGTGTGTGTGTCTGTCTGTCCTTCATGCATTACCACATTGTTTATCCGATTGCCATGAAACTTTGGAAAGTTTTTTAATTTTTTAATACACTCCCGCAAAGTACATTTATCCTACGATAGATGGCGCGCGTTTACACGAGCATTCGCGCACAGTGTGTTCGATCGATTTCAAATTATGAAGACCATTTCCCCCCTTCAAAAAATATCTGTATATATGCATTTGTAAACTGTTATTTACGATATTTATAATAATTTTTTTTAATCACTTTGATTGTTGCTGCTTCCCTCGTGTTACATAATTTTTTTTTAACCGAAAGCAGCACAACATACTGTCCAACAGGTTTTGTCGACACAGAAGATTCGGATCATTCAGTCAATCTGGGACAATGGCGTGATGAGCAAAAACACTTACATAAATGTGGTTGGCAAAAATCTAACACATATAGTTGTNTTATTCGTGTACACACCAGAGGGAAAAACAAAAAATATCGTGTATCCACAAACACTCCAATAAATAAATAGAATTGAAACGACACTTTGAAATGTTTTCCCGATGAAAATGAATAATAATAATAAGTTTCAATAAAAATAATAAAATGTAAATTGAATTTTATCATAACGAGTTTGCTTGAATTTCGTTTCTTCTGAGATTGCAGCAATGCGCGATGGGTAAGCTAGTATTTAATAATTTTTGGTTAAAAATTATATTAGTTCTATAATTTATTTTGTAAAATTATATTTTTCATTGACATTTATCAAATGTCTTAGGCTATTTTTATACTGTATTATACATTAAAATGTATTTCATCATTATTTTTATTTAAAGCCATGACAATATTATATTATGTAGTCATTTTAGTTTAAAAGTGACATTTAGTTTTAACACCATATTATTATAATATGCAGATAAGTTATTTTAATAGTCAATACATTATATGATGATTAATTCTCAAAACTGAAAAAAATATTAAGTTTATAATGTGCTTACAATCAATCCTTGAATACATTTCTATTAAGAGAAAAATATCTTTGAACTGATGCTCATTGGAGGCTGTCCCTAAATTACATCCACACTGGAAAGGGGAAGAGGTTACAATCATTTGGAAAAGGGAAGGGGTTGAGCTTCAGTGGACAACCATTTATTTCATTTAAATTTTATACAGTTTGTTTAAAATTTTTTGTATAATTCGTTTCAACGTATGGTATGTATCATTCGTAAGGTGATAAAGGTTTTAAGGGGATTGAATTTTATTAGATGTCTGAAGAGAAAGAGGAGGTTATGAAAACTTGGACAAACTGGGATAAGAGAGGGAGTAAAATTTACAAGAAAAATGCAGACATAATTTAAGGACATCCTCTTACTGTAGTTTCAATCAATGATGAGCAGTCTTTTCTAGATGCATGCCACAAGTGTACTTTGTAGGCTTCTGATGAGTCACATGCATTATTTTAAATGGAGTTAGAGGTTTAATTTTAAGTCTGCTGAGTACCAACATATTTGTTGTGTTAATAATATGCAAACTAGTAATATATAGTTTATTTTCATCTTTTTACTGGTCAAGTTTAGTTTGAATGTTCTTCATAACAAATATCAGTATAATTAAGGTTCTATAATAGCATGAGACAGAAAACAGGAAAATAAAATTACATTGACAAATTCCCTGGAGTGCATATTAGGACCTCAAGGACCATATGCCATCTATGGACTGCATGTTGCTTGTGACTGGTTTAAATTGTATTTTATGAGGTCTGTTCAAAAAGTATCGGACTTTTATTTTTTCTGCGTAAACCAATGATTCATGGGAGGCCTCTTTTGGTGGAGTTGTGGAGGGGACATTCATGCACAGCCCTGAATTTTTTCCCGCCTGCAGGAAGCGTCAGTTGTTGGCAGTCAGCCTATGAGTGAGGACATGTAGCGAGCTCTCATCGGATTCCACTAAGTTGGAAAATGACTGAACAATGTGAGCAGCGATATTACATCAAATTTTGCCAAAAACCTTGGTGATACCCGAGCGTAAACCATTCGCAAGATTCAGCAGGCTTTCGGGGACGATCCTTGAGGCCAAAAAAAAGCGTGGCAGGTCCGCAGCAATATCAAGGTCGTGTTGACAGTTTTTTCAACTTTCGTGGGGTGGTGTATCGTGAGTACACACCACAAGGCCAAACCATCGCAAAGGAGTACTACCAGGAGGTCCTTCATCGTCTTTCCAATGCTGGGCAATGCAAACGACCGGATCTGTTGTCAATCAAAACTTGCCAGCTCCATCGTGATAATGCATCCGCCCATTCTGCGCATCTGATTCGGGCTTTCGTCGCCAAACACAACAATCCTGTGGTTTGTCACACACTGTACTCTCCCCACATGGCTCTGTGTGACTTTTGGCTATTTCCCAAGCTGAAGATGCCGCTAAAAGGAACCCGATTTTAGTCGAGAGAAGACATCGTGTGGAATTCGACGGACCGGCTGATGGCCATTCCAAAAGATGCGTTCCAGCAGTGTTTCCAGCAATGGCAGGAACGCTGGGAGAAGTGTATACACTACCAAGGAGACTGTAGTTTGAAGGAGATTAGGGTTTTGTACTTCAAAATCAATAAATGTATTTTTGCCGACCAAAGGTCTGATACTTTTTGAACAGACCTCGTATTCTTGTCTTCATTAATTAATTAAGATTTTTAAGTAGAATAATTAAATATATTATTATTAAGTATATTAACAAGTTCAAATAATTTTATTTAGATTAAATCTAATATATTTATCAAAATCATACTCTGAAAAAAGTTTATTTTAAAATATATGTATGATTTATAACAGTTTATTTTTTACAAGTTAAGCAATTTTGATTAAAATCATCTAAATGCAAATACCCAGTCGACCTCCCCTATAACACTGTTGATTTTTCCGTTTTATATGAATTCCACATTGTATGAGTCACTTAGATTTTACAAATATGTGAGCTGTTCACAGCCCGGCACACGTATTTGTAAAATCTAAGTGACTCATACAACATGGAATTCATATAAAACTAAAAAATCAACAGTGTTATAGGGGGGTCGACTGTAAAGTTATAAATATATTATTGGAGTGTATTTTAGCTTCAATGTGCAATGCTTCTGAATGAAGTTATCTATTTTCAGTTATTTATTTTCAAATCACTGTTTTAATTTTCAATTGATACTTTACTTTAAAACTGAAATATTATAGACTTATGAATTGTTGTATTTATTTACAACATATTTTTGTAGACTGCTAAATTAATTTATTATTAGATGTATTCATATTGCTTTTGGACTATTGAAGTTTCTTCACACACCAATAAAATGTTTTTGTAATTTAAATTATATTGAGAAATAAATGTAAGTGTTTAATATTAAATTGCTAATTTGAAAAGAGACCTTCATATAATGAATAGATTATAGTAGGGATAGAACATTCTGCAAGAGCTGTAAATTTTAGCAATTAGAAATAATTTTCAATTTTTTAAAATTATTTCTTTATTAAAATTGAAAATTATTTGATGCTGTAAGCTTTAATGGAAGAAATAAATAAATAAAAATATGAAAGGAAAGTAGCTGTTTGAGTGCTTTTGAGTAATTTTTGGTTCATTTTTTCTTTAATGAAAATAATTTTCCGTTTTATTTCATAATCTTCAATAGAAAAGTAATTTAATAATATACTAAGAGAAGTGATATTCATTGCCAAAAGACATAACAGAATCAGATGATTAATTTATTACAGAATAGCTGTAAGCTTTAATGGAAGAAATAAATAAATAAAAATATGAAAGGAAAGTAGCTGTTTGAGTGCTTTTGAGTAATTTTTGGTTCATTTTTTCTTTAATGAAAATAATTTTCCGTTTTATTTCATAATCTTCAATAGAAAAGTAATTTAATAATATACTAAGAGAAGTGATATTCATTGCCAAAAGACATAACAGAATCAGATGATTAATTTATTACAGAATAGTTGTAAATTACATTATCAAATTTTTAAAATGAAATTGGCAAGTTCTTTCTAGTTTTGAACACTATAAATCTGAATTGTTAATTTCCAAAAATTTAGTCCAAAACTATCAGCTAAAACTGAGTTTTCACGTATGAGTGATTTTTCTACGTGATTTAAATACTTTCTTCACTGTGCATACATGCTCTTAAAAATGAGCATCTAAGTTGCTCAGTTATGTGTGAATTAGACACTTGAGCTGCATAAACTTTTTCATTATGCAAATTAGATGCATCCAATCAGCAATGAATAAGATGGTTTGATGTCATTTTCTACAAAATAACTCAATGGATGAATGCATCAGCTGAAAAATTAATAGAAGTTTGCAATTTTTTCAGAAATATTTGATAAAAGATGAAAAAATAACAAAAAATGATAAAAATAATAAATTTATGTGTGTTTTTATCTTTTTCTACAAAGAATAAGAATGTTGCTAAGATGATTTCTTCATCATCATCATCATCATCATCATCATCATCATCATCATCATCATCCATCTTTTGATTTATTTTCCTTTCTTCCTGTCAGATAGCATATGAATGAAGTGCAAATCATGTAGTGAATATCAATTGCATGGAGTTCATGGTGTTATGTGTTGGCTTAGCACAGTGAAATTGCTCACGAAGATACCCAGCTGTCAAGTCTGGATGTGAATGTGATATGTTAGTGCTATGGAATGGAAAGTAAAGAGTACTGAATGTACAATTCAATAACAAATATAATTTTCTGAATATTTATTTAATAATAAGTGTTAAAACAAAGTAGATACTTATACCAAAATTTTCATTATTGTAAAATTTCCTTTGACAGTATATTTTAAGTAGTAACAATAACAATTATTTAAAATAAACCTGGACAATAAATTCATTTAAAATTTACAAGTAGAAGAAATCAAAGTCTTTGTTTGTGTACTTGACTCTGATCTGTAATAATATTTTTTGTGTTGTGAGAAGGACAAATGTGTAAACTTTCTGTTTCTTCTGTATGTAAAATAAAATTTGATATAATAATTCTTATAATAAATAATTACATAGATTTACACTGATATAAGTATGATGATGATATATTATAATTGCAGTATATTTAATATGAAAATTTTTATATTGGTGTCAACTTAAAACATCAAATTAATAATTCAGTGGTGTTTATTTACTATATTTATTTTCTTTTATTCAGATTGCATACCTTTGATAGTGGAGTTAAGGTACTGAAATCTGCTTCTATTGATGAACATTCTGATGCTGAAAAATTAAAAGAATTGGTTAGTTGTTTCATATTTAAAATTTGTTTATAACATTATAATTACTAAAATATAATGTCTGGCTATTATCACATTATCATAAATTACTATTACTATTATTATTATATTTGTTTGATTCTGAGCTGCATTTTTTAAAAAAAACTTTTTATCATACAGGTGTTAATTACCAATGACTGTCATCAGACCGACAAGTGCTTTCGACGCTAATTATTTTCGTCTTCTTCAGGCCATTAAAACGGTTAAATTCCTTTTTTTGATTACAAATAACTGACCATTCCAAGCGTATTACCGTTTTGGAATGGAAGCAACAGTAGAACATAAAATAATTTTCAAACAAAAACACGCGCGGTTGTAATGCGCATGTGCTGTGCACCTCCAAATTGCGGAGCTAGATATGTTGGTTTAGAGAATTATACAAACTGATCCACAAAGGGGGCAAATCAAGTGTGGGGGTGTTGCAGGGATTTAGTATGTTGGTAAGGAGGGCCTCCCAAATGTATATAATATTTCTGTTATTGCACTGTCTTATTATGCCCACCTCGTCCCACAACGGGGTATGTTGGTGTTGTAATACCATTTTAGCGAGCTCAGTTTCATTCTTGCCTTTCCTGATAGAATACTGATGTTCCGTAATACGACACGACAACATTCTTGTTGTCGCGCCAATATAATGAGTGCGACCACCCGACATGTTTTCTAATGGGATAGAATAAATCCCCGATCTTTCCAGAATGGAAGTAGGATCTCTGTTATTGGACAGCAATCTCCTTTTAACGGCCCGAAGAAGACGAAAATAATTAGCGTCGGAAGCGCTTGTCGGTCTGATGACAGTCATTGGTAATTAATGCCTGTATGATAAAAAAGTTTTTTCTATTAAATAGTTGGCGTGCTGTCTAATTTTGTATTATTGATAGCTGCATTTTTTTTTACCATTTTAATGTCCTTGAAAATTGGGTGTTGCTTACATTTGAGGTAGCTAAATTTTACCTGAAAAGACAATTTTTTTAAGTACCATAAATTTATTCTGTACCATGTGTACTATCACCTGATATAATTTAATCATCAAACCAGTAGTTATTAGTTAGGATTCTGTTTTGGAAACAATCCATCAGTCTTCCATAAGATAATATTTGATCACTTATTCTGTAGTATTTTTGACCTTTTGAGGTGTTTTAACTCTCAAAAATAAATTGAAACAAAAGAATTGTGAATTGATGATAATTCTGGATAGAATGACAAGCCAACTTCAGTTGCTCGATGTTTGCATCAATAAGCCTTTTAAGCACTATATAAGAAAAGAATATGAAAATTGTTTACTTTTGCAAAACTGCACTTAACCACTTCTGGGAAAATAAAGAAGATGAGTGCTTCAAAAATTGCAGAATGGGTATCTGTTGCCTAGAAAAAGTTCCTAGTGAAATAATAATTCATCCCTTTAAAATATGCTGCATTATAAATGCAATGGGTGGCACAGAAGATGACTTAGTTTTGGAAAATGATGATGCCAACACAGTTCCAAAATCAGCTGTGTTAGTGCAACTGATGAATTATTTTCACAATGTGATAGTGAGAGCAATTAAGATTTACTTTAAATTATGTATTTAAGATTATTTAACAAATTAATTCTTCACCATTTCTTACTTCTCATTTTTTGAACTTTGTAAATAAATCTTACTACTGGAATTTTTTATTTTTTATGAAAATTGAGAAATTGAGGTGTGGTTTAGAATTGAACGGTATTTTATAAACTTATTTTAATTATGATTATTGCCTAGTGTTGTTTACAACAAGAATAAACATTTTCTAATTTAAATAATAATTTAAAGTTTTTAAGATTAGTTAGTTATTCTCTATGTTGAAAGTATCTGTTTTTAATAATAGAAAGATGATGTGCATAAATTTTTAATGTGTTATTCATTGTTTTGCATATTTAAACATACAATAGCCTAAAGCAACTATAAACATAAACCAAATAATACAGGTTCTTTTTTGAGTAAAATTTTTCAATTAATTAATATAATTTACTCTAGAGGTAGTCAATGCTATTGTTTTGTATCATATTTAAAAATTAGATTACAAAATTGAATGGGTAGAAGTATAGTAGTGACATAAAGAATTAAAAATGTCTTCTTTTAGTTCTTTATGTTCTTTTCACACTTTGGGAACACACAGTTCTTACAGCAGAGTTGACCTTCCTTTATAGGCTACTTTCCCTGCCTCAACATGCAAAAATGGTTAAAATATTCTCAGGTTTTCAGCACAATCATAAAATTAATTTACAATCAAACATTAATTAAAAATGATTATTTTTAATTAATGTTTAATTGTATTAACAATTAAATTAATCAAATTAATAAATTGAAATATTTGGAAGGAAAAGCCTGAAGAAGGAATTGAATCATACATTAGTGCTCTTTAGTTACTATCTGTTTAATATGATTTTCAAATTCTATTTAATTTCTTTCCCTAATATTTATAATATATATGCAATTAATAAACTTACAATTAAATCAATAAATATGATCAATTAAAAAGAAACTGACTTTAAGAAGGGTGTACATAATATGGTTAAAAAACTGAAAAAAATAATTTTTTTTTATTATTAAGTATTCAAATTGTATATTAATTCTTTACAGATCAATGATGAATATAGCTGTGAAATTCTTTTTTTAATTTGCTACATATAATTATTTTTTGTTTGAAACATTTTTTCTAATATCCACTGAATAATTCAAACAGATAATTCACTTCATTTGTTAGTAGAATTATTTTTTAATACTGCTTCTTATGACTGATTTTTTTGTGAATCACTGCCATATTAGTATTACATTATGCTGCTCACAAATTGTTTAAATTGATGTCCTTATCTAATAAGAGAGATTTTGCATTTCAGATCACTAATGGCTTTGACAATACTGAGCGCACAAATTATGCTATATCTGCACTGCACATCAAAATTTAGATTTCTGGATAGTACTTATATTTTTAAATGTGTGTCATTGGTATTATATTATACATGGACATCTGTAGAGGGGGCAAATGGAGAAAATACTCCCTGGGATTGTGTAAAAAATGTACAAATTATAATCATAAAAATGATTGAGATATGTAACATTACACCTTGACATGGAATGCTTTTATATTAATGTAATACTGTANATCTTAATTATGAAAATATACTAGCATGTTTTTTAATTTTTGGATCCTAACCCTCCTTTTCGTATTAGTTCTTTGTTTCGTATAACACGGATTCGCATAACACGGCAATTTTTTGGAACGTAACTACCATGTTATACGGGGGTTACCTGTATATGTATTTAATTGGATAGGTATTTAATCTGGAGTAAAATGATTGTCCAAAATAATTACAGTATAAAAAATGATGGAGTCAGAATTTTTTCCTTATTCTTCTTACATAAATGTAAAATACATGAAAAAATATTTTTCTTTCATTTCTGACTTTTTGGATATTATATAACTTCAAATCTTAAAACATTAAACCAATAAAATGACTAAAAACTTAAAGTTAAAAAGGTATAAAAAGAAATCCGNCTGTATCTTATAATCTACTTGTAAAAAAAAAAACAAAAAATTTAAATAATTAAATAAAAATGTATTGATGTAATTATTTGTTTCCAAGTTTTGTCCCACTGAAAAATTTTCTGTGGCCATCCATGGTATTATACATAAAAACTGTATTTCATATTTACACTTTAAGCTGTATAAATGCACACCTAATATTTTATATTACTAGTAGTAATATTTTTAATGAAATCACTATGAAATTTTAGATCATATGTATAAAAATATTAAGTTTAAATGTACTTTTGCAACATATTTGTAGCAAAAAATGAAACTAAGTAAATTAAACTGTATATTGTTTTATTTATAACAAATACACACATTTTTTATTACAGAGATAGAAAGTGTATTCTATTCTTTCTATAAATAAATAAATATATATATATATATATATACACACTCTTTCGATCTCTTTAATAAAAAAATGTGTGTGTATTTGTGTGTGTGTGTATATATATATAGAGATAGATAAATAAATACTGTAATTGTTAGTCCCAATGAACAATAATTCTTTGTTTGACCAGTGCACAAGCATTATAATAAAAACTTTTTTCAAGCTTTTATTTTCTATCTGTTTAATGAAAAAATGTGTGTGTATTTGCTTATTACTTTATATGTATTGTATTGTTTATTCCTTTATATATATAGTATTGAAAAATGTCACAAATAGCCAATCAAAATCAAAATTTCATCAATTGCAAGTAATCTATATTTTGCCAATCATTTATACTCCAGTAAGTGAAAAGTGCTGCCATTATTTGTCTTTGGCTTTGACATTTTAATTAATGATTTTGAGTACTTGCTGTACATGTTTGTTTTAATCTGCATATATTTTGATAGAAGTTATATATTTATTAAATACTTTCCTAATTACTTTCATGGTTATAGTTGTTTCAGATGAAAACACTTCCTATTCCAGATAATAATAATGGCAGTTATCTGGTTTTATTACAGTGTGGTTTTATTTTGCTTTCTAAATTTACTTTCTTAATTATTTAAAGTAGTTTTCTAATTAAAATTGCTACTTTCTATAAATTTTTGATCGAAAGTATCCATCTTAGGTTTAGCAATTAATGCAATTAATTTTAATTTTTTTGTTTTTTAAACATAGGAACTGTACATAAATTACTTAACACAGTTGTGGGTGGGTATGCAGGTAATCATTGTGATCCCTTACAACAGGAGTTATTTATAAAAGCATTATATAATGCTAGGATCTCAACCGTTAGTTAACAAAATGATTTATTTGTTTCCAAAGAGTTGCAAAGTGAACCCTACTGTTTGTCACTATTTGTCCATAATTAATAAAATGATATGATGTTCCATAGGCCATGCTATGTATTATTCTTTAGTGCAATTAAGAGGATTAATTGAGGATATGTTTTACATAATTTTGAGGGTTGGTATGTGCAACACAT